CTTGCAGCGCCGCGATTTGCGCTGCTTGTTGCACGGCGTGGGCGGCCTCCCGCTCGAACATCACCCGCAGCTCCTTGACGTAAGCGTCGCGCCCGGCAAGGGCCTTTCCCGTCGATTCCATAAAGTGCCTCGGGTATGGGGACGATCTGTATTTGGTCGGGTCCGGGTACGGGGTGCAGTCGCGCGGCCATGTGGCCGCCATTCTTGCAATTCGCCGTCGTGGTGGCGAAAGGGAGTACACCGGAGGCACGGTCAGATTTTTTCCCTCGGCTCGAACCATTGTGTTGACTGGGGGTGCTTGATCTATTGGGTCCGGAACCCCTGTTTGGATATTGGGAGAGTGCGCATTTGGGGGGGGGGGGGGGGATGCCGATGGGGGAGATTGTAACAAAAAGCCACGACACACACATATTTTCCAGCGGGGTCTGGCTCTGTCTGGTACTGGAGACTCTGGCACTTCTCCCTGGCTCCTGAGAGAGGAGACTGCCTGAGTGCCTGTGCGGGACTGCGAGCTCCTATATATGGAGAGATCCTTTTACCTTTTCATTCCGGCACATCCCCTGGCGGCATGTGTGTGTATCGCCGACGCACACGCAGGCCTGCAGCGGACCACCCCCACCCTCAACGGAGGGCTGCAGCGAAATTACCAGCGAATGCTTGCCTTCCCCTGTGCGCGGCGTATCTCAGTGCCGCTTTTGGCGGTCCCTCCATCGCTCTCGTCATCTCCACGGCTGTAGCGCGAGTCCGATGAGCAGCGCCGCCGGCAGGAGCGACCCTATGCAGTAGATATAGCGGTCATCGAACATCGTGAGGACGCCGCTTCGTCGCTCGGCGGTGGCTTCACTACCTATGCAGCACACGCGCGCCGCCTCGGCGCCGCCGACGGCGCCCACGGCGTACGCGACGCAGCAAAAGGATGCCCGAAATCACCCGTTTTTGCCCAATTTTTGGTCATCCGTTAAAATATCTGAAGATCTGAATGGGGGATTCTCCCCAAACCTTGCTCAGCTGATCCAGCCTGGGGGGAAGGCCAGCCCTGGCCAAAGAAACCAGCACCCAGCCAGACTGGCGGTCCGTCGGAGCCAACCTGGTCTTCTCGATCAGCAACAATCAACAACACCGGCTACTACTGCCAGGATGTGAAGTTGGAAGAGGACGGCGAACCCATGTCGCCGCTGGGGCACGACTCAACCAGCTCGTACCGCGGGGAAGTGACGATTCCCGGCTATTCGATGCCTGTTCGGAAATGGACGCTGACTTCGCCGGAGGCGCAGGCGGACTACCTCTGGCAATTCTACGACGCACCGACTGGACCTGACGGCGCCTACCTTCCTGTGCGGATCGAGCTGCTCTACCGTCCCACAAACGACTTTGAGCAAATCTGGCGCATCGACAGGATGGACGCGTCGGTGAACTTTGACGATCTCGTCGGTCACGCGGCCTTCCAGAAGCCTTCCATTTTCTATCAGCTCGGAGAGCCGTTTGAGCGGTTCTTTGCGTTGGAAAGCGACGAGCTTAGCATGCTGTGTGGGCCCTCGGGCTGCGTCGATAACGATTACAGGAACGGGCAGAAGGCGGTCGATCCTCTCCACGCGCTTCTGACGAGCAACCCGCTTCCCGGCTCCGACTATGGCGCATTGATGGCGAAGCTTGGCAACAAGGAGCCTCTCGCACCACGCCACGTGGACATTTCAGACCTACCCGTCGGCCTGTACTTCGACTACACGGTGATGCTGCGGGAGTTGAAGGACGCGCAACCGGACGTGAGCCCCTACCTGCTCGGTGCCCAGGTCCTGGAGCGCCTCACGGCCTCCGCCGCGGAAAACCGCCGCAGTCTCCGGGGGGGGGAGATCAAGGGGGGCAGCTTCGGCCCTCTGAACGTGGAATATGCAACTGGGACTGGGGACTACGCCTGCTGCAAACTTGAGAACGAACCGGCACCGAATATGGAGTTTAGCGCTTCAGTTGACTTCCCAGTCAAGCCAGGTCTGACGGGAAGCCTTGGCTTTGGCCTCGAACTCGGTGCAGGCGACGCTGGCTTATGCTACATGAAACCCGAGCTATCCGTTGGTGCCTCATTG